GAACGTAACGTTTTGAGATTTATAGGTAATTGAATCCTGATGCACGTTTAACATCACCTGAACAAAACTGGATATAAGGCTAAGCTGTCCTGACATACCTTAAAATCTAGACTCCTGGAACAGATACGCCTAGAACGTTTATCTAGTCAGTGGTAAAGCGAATTGACTTCTAAATTTAATTTCCACATGTTGTTAAATTAATCAGTTTGTCTTTGTTTTGGCTTGCTTGGTATTGTCGGCAGTGGTGTTTAATTGTTTGTTTTTAAATACTATAAATTATGCAACAATATTCAGAGCCCTTAGAATAACATTACAATCTTTTGGTGAGAAAACTTTCTCATTTTTTGTACAAAAAATCTGCAACACCTTGCCCCAGGATCATAGAGAAACAGCAAATTTTGATAAGAGGTTTAACCGATTGCTCAAGACTCATTTGTTCAATTTTTAGTTATAGTGTGTCAGTAAGTTCTGATTTTTTTTATATGTACATATTATTATTCATATAATGTATGGTTGTGAGAGTTCTTCTTTATCTGGTTAAACTGGTTTTTCTTTCTTCTGTGAAACATTTTTCTAGTGTGAATGATTATGTGATTGGTGTAAAGCGCTCAGGCTAATACTATTTAGGTTTCTTAGGAGAACATTTCGAAAAGAGTAGATCTTACGAAAATTGATGACAGAGATGAAAGTTCAACGACGTCTCCTTTGAATTTGGTTTAGAAGTCAGAACGTGTATGGAAGGACAGACTTTACCCGGGGAAAGACCTGGGCAGTCAGTGGGCCCAGCGCTGAAGCCGGCACAGTTAAATGTTATTGAGTCAAAGGTCACCACGTGGACGGACTCCGCTGTGAGGAAAGTCGTGATGGGGCGACAGTAAACATTTTGTCGCCTTTTCCCTCCAACATTCGAGTGTATAGGCTTTCCCAGGGGAAAATTTATAAGAGAAACTTTATTTAGCACGTGTATCCCGCGATAGCTCAGTTGGTAGAGCGGAGGACTGTAGAGGACATACATTGACATCCTTAGGTCGATGGTTCGAATCCGTCTCGCGGGAATTTTTTTTTTCCACATTCTGAAAAAACAACCCAATTATTTTTGTTTGTTTATTTGTTTGCTCTGTCATTTACTTGTCTTTCTCTTTTCAACGCTTGCCGATGTTTGGTAAGGGGAAACGTGCTTACATGCATTATTATCAATTTAAATTCATCAGTTTATGTAATTAATATTGGTATAATATTATCAAGTGTTATTGTGTTTACAACAACAAAAACAACAACTTTTGTGCACGGTTCCACGTTAGGTCAACCCCGACCTTCAAGTTTGGGAACATTAGTTTTGTTAACATTATGTAGTCGGTAAAGAAAAATCAAGCAAGTGAAAACTACTTGTCAGGGAGATCTTATTGGGAACTCAGAAACGAGAATCAAGCGTTAGTCTTTGATATTGTGTCTTGTCTCACACCCGTCCCCCTTGACAAATTATGAAGATATTTTCTGACTCACACTTGCTATGGTGTTTTAATTCATGTCCAAGTTCCATTGCATTCTTTATAAAAAATGCTAGCTGTAAAGATAAGTGTAAAAGTAATTCTTTATCCTACCGTCTCTCTTTCTATAAGTTCGTTTCTACTTGCATATTATTATTCTTAGTGCGGTATGTTTGTAAACACTCCAACGCTTGCTCCACTGTATATTATCTATCTCTGGATGATGAAAACATTGTATCAATGCTAACTTTTCCTGTGCCAAATCATGGTCTATTGTTGATATATCCAGTGAAAAGCAAAGATTTTATTTTTCTGTGTGCAGACACAGTTTGAGCCTGTATTTTCAGACAGGAACTTCTTGTTCCACATTGGTTTCTCTCTTTTTTTTTTACATTGGTGTGGTGTAAATCATAATGCATTACTGCATCTGCATCCTTTTCGGTTAATCAAGTGTCTATAAGTGAATCGAAAGCTAATATAGAACTGAACAGAAATGTGTTCCTAATCATGACCGTCACTGAAAAACATATCGCTAAGGCCTTGTGGGATAGTTAAGGGGAAGGGGTTGGGGGGGGGGGGGGGGGGCATTGGTAGGTGCCACTTCTCTCTTTTTCTTCTATTGTTTAAGATACGATAAGATCAAATGTATCCTTATTGTCCAGATCCTGGTACATTGGTTTGTTGTTTCACCACGTATACACACGCACGCACGCACACTCTCCCCGAACAATCCTCTCTTCCACAAACATCTGTGCACATACCAACAACAATACAATAGTAGATAACCATAATTCTGACAATAACGTTTCTCTCTTCTCAAACGCCAGGTAAGGTCACGGACAAGATATCCCGTCCATCTGCATGAAGACACGCCAACGCTGCGCATTCCTTATGTGGAAGACGTCCATAATATTTACTCCATCGAGGGAGGTTGAAGCGTGGCAGGACCATCCACGTCGTAACCTTTTCTTCAGATCATTTAACTGTTATAGCCGCTGTCTAGGCTAGCATTTTAACAGTAGCTTTTCGAACCATTCCCATCTCCTGCGATAGCTCAGTTGGTAGAGCGGAGGACTGTAGAGGTGATACACTGACATCCTTAGGTCGATGGTTCGAATCCGTCTCGCGGGATTATTTTTTATGCTTCTTCATGGGTCATACTTAATATTTTTTGCTGGTATTTTTTTAGGAGGGGGGGGGGGGATGTAGAAAGCTAACGTATTATCTTGTGCTTTTTAATGCAAAGTAGGCATAAACGTGATGTATCAATTTACGTATTTCATTTTCTTTTTCGTTTTCTTTCCTCATCCC